CTAAACAAAATTACAAAATATACTGTAATTACTAAATATCTCTCCAAGTTTATCAGAATGCTAACACTGACAATTCTGTGCCTTATGATCATGTTTCCAATGTGTGATAATGTCCCTGAAATGGAAAGTAATTGCTTCTAAGATTTTTGACTTTGACAGGTTAAAAATATCAAATAAATGTCTGGGAGAACATTTGGTTTAGCACTAGGTTGTCATCTGAAAGTCAGAATACTTGCTTGCTCACTCTTTGTTGGGTGCATATTGGAGAGCATTTGCAATACATAAAATTACTTTTGAAGGCTTTATGTTAATGAGCTGAGATGGATAGACATGTGATCTCATGAGTATAAATACAGAGACAGGCAAGCTGTTGATGAATTCATCATCAGAGGAGGAGTTCCAGATCATTTCCTTCAGTCCTCCAGAAGGTGAGAATCAAATTGTTGTAGGATTTGTTGACAGATATGCTATAGGTAAAGCCAGCCTGTGCCTGTTGAATATGGATTGCTGGAAAGGATCTTGTTTGAAAATGTTGCTGTTGTTCCTTTTGGCTTTTGCTTCCTCAAGAAGTCATATTTGATTTGGGAGCATTGCCAGCTTGGAATTTTATAGTTGTCCTTAATGTCATATACAAATGTCTAAAAGTGGACTAATTTTTATGTTTGACTTACAGAATAAATCTCTTTATTCTTAGCCATACCACAGATATTAATCAGTCATAGCTTCAGTGCCCAAATGAGTTATATGATGCCTCTGATCATATTTTTTTGTTTAAGAAAATGAAAATCTGGACAAGCGAAATTGAACCCTGAGAAAAGTACAGAATGTAGCCGATAGTTGAGGGTGGTTATCTTAATTATAATGAATTTTCCACCTCCCACAGAATAAGACTGTTGGTCTTACCAAAGTGAGCTGTATTTGATCTCCTCACTACAGCTGTGGATTGGATAAAAGTTGTAAAGCTCCACCAGCATCAGCATCAGCATCATCATTTTTACATTTTAGTCACATGTAACTTTTGGTTCCCCTAAATCAAACTAGCTGGGCAGGCACAGTAAAGGGCTTTGGGTGTAAACAATGGCAACGGAACCAAAATAGCCTTTAGTTTTTACACCCTCTTAGTGGAATTCATCACTAGAATCCCAACCCTCTCCCTTCCTTTAGTAGAGCCTTGTAGGGAGGAGCTTAGGCATCTCTGGTGCCCACTGAGCCTTCTCAGTATCACCTTTTAATGCTGCCATTCTGGCTGTGGGGTCTTATTGGAAGCTGTCTCGTGGCTTATTTAATCTTAATGTTGCTGCTAGGTTGGCACTCATGTTTTAAAATAGTAATTTATATTGAACCCAAGTTAAGGTTTTGGAAACCAGCTATTTACTGAAGGCATTTGCTGCAGACAGATTGTTCTTGGGGAAATATCTTAACCAGTTAACCAGGATTATTATTATTGTGGCTATCTTTGGAGGCTTAGATAGACCATTTTTTGTTACCCTGAGTTATTTTTTTAACCACAAAACATTTTTTTTTTTGAAAAAACATCATTTTTTAAGATTTTGCACTCAGATGTTTTCATCTGCCTTTGACATTGATCTTAAGTGGTTTACAGCTAATGAACTAGAAAGGAGTTGTTAATAATGGTTTTTCATTCTGGCCAGTTTGGCTCAAGTGGTTAAAGTGTCAGCCTGCGGTCCAGAGAGACCCGGGTTCAGTTCCCGCTAAGGGCATGTACCTCGGTTGTAGTTTGACCCCGGCCCTGGTTGGTCGTGTGGGTGGAAGCCACTCGATATGTCCCTTTCACGTAGATGTTTCTCTCTCTCTCTCTCTCTCTCTCTCTTTCTCTCTGTCTATTTTTCTCTCTCTCCCTCTCCCTCCCACGGTATCTGAACAAAAAATGGAAAAATGCCCTCGGGTAAAAAAAAAATAAATAATGGTTTTTCACTTCCAAATTGCTTTTGGATTTTCTTACAGTGGTCTTATATCCCCACAATGTTAGTATTATATTTTTTCAAGAAATTTTTACTGTAGTAGGGCAAAACTATTAGCACTGTCTCTGTAAAGTACAATGTGGTTTTTAAAAGCTAGTATTACTACAGTTAGTACGACCTGTACTACTGATCTTTAATGTCCCAAATATTCTCTTCAAAAAAAGATATCAGACCCTGGCCAGTTTGGCTCAGTGGTTGGAGTGTCAGCCTGTAAACCGAAAGGTCACAGGTTCAATTCCCAGTCAAGGGCATATACCTCAGTTGCAGGTTTTGTCCCTGGCCCCGACTGGGGATATATAGGAGGCAACCAGTCCATGTGTCTCTTTCACTTAGATGTTTCTCTTTCCCTCCCTCCCTTCCTACCACTCTGTTTAGAAGATCAATGGAAAAATATCCTCAGGTGAAGATTAACAAACAAACAAAAATATCAGGGACAATCATAATAGAAACAAACAAACCTCTTTGGTTTATCAATTCTTACTCAGAAGACTAGTTACAGATGATTTTAAAGAGGTAGCTTTTCTTGTAAAAGCAAACTGGATTTTTCCCTCCATTAATCTCTTGAGATTTTTTTTTTTATTATTAATTTGTTTTTGTTACAGATGTTTCTCATTTTTCCCCATTGACACCCCCACCCCACCCCATCCCCAGCTTTGTTGTCTATGTTTATTGGTCATGCATACATGCATGTAAGTTCTGTGGTTAATCTCTTCTCTCCCAACTCCCTCCTCTGAGGCTTGTCAGTCTGTACCCCACCTCTATGTCTCTGGGTTAATTTTGTTCAGTAGTTTGTTTAGTTCGTTATATTCCACAAATAAGTGAGATCATGTGATATTTGTCTTTTTCTGCTTGGCTTGTTTCACTTAGCATAATAATCTCCAGGTCCTTCCGTGCCATCTCAAAGGATTGGTGTTACCTCAAAAAGTTAAAAATTGAACTGCCACTTGACCCAGTGATCCCACTTCTAGGAATATACCCTAAGAAACCTGAAACACCAATCAGAAAGAATATATGTACCTCTATGTTCATAGCAGCACTCTTTACAATAGCTAAGATCTGGAAACAACCCAAGTGTCCATCAGTAAATGAGTGGATTAAAAGGCTGTGGTGCATGTACACAATGGAATCTCTTGAGGTTTTTAAAATTAATTAATTATTTTATTACAAATGTCCCTCCTTTTTCTCCCATTGACACCCTCCTCCCTGCTTCCCCCACCCCTCTTCTCCTCACTGTACTGTTGTCTGTGCCCATTAGTTATGCATATGTGCATATAAGTTCTTTTCTTTATCTTTTCCCACTTCCCCACCCAATCTCCAGAGATTTTAACACAAGAAAATAAAGCTTTTATCCAAAATAACTGTATGTGTACTTATGTCCCCTCTGATTTACTTTTGAATCTGTATGTCTGTTAGCCTTTAAGGAGCAGTCATACCCACTGCTTTTGTCTTCCAGGTGAGAAACAAATGTACTAGCCCAGGGTCATTTTTCCTGTATAGTTTCAGATATGTTTTTAGCTTTACTCGGTGAGTATATTCACCTACTAATAATAGCAGGCTCAGTTTTTGTCTCTTAAGCAGTTCCCAACATTGACACAAATAGCATCCACTCTTAATTTCAAAAACATATATGCCCCATACTCTGGAAAATCCCTTTACTGCGCTAATAATCCCTGCTAGCAATCAGTAGTCCTTCAGGATTCTGTGCTGATAGTCCCTTTCTGTCACTGTAACTCTAGCTTTCCTAGAGAAGAAGGGAGAGGACTATCAGAGGAGGGGAAGGACATCCTTTGTAAGACAATTTAATATCTCTGTTAAGATCATTGGACTTGTTGCTGCTCTGGCATTCACCTCTGCACCAGATTACAAAAATTACTTGGGGTCCTTCCAACTTTATTTATGTCCCTATTTTTGCTGCCATGATTCATAGGGCAGCCTAGGTCTCTTGTTTTGTATTAGGACTCCACAGGATCTTTCCTCATTGGAGGTTTCCTATGTTCTTAGCATGTTCATACCAGACTGACGAGTTCTAGAGCTGCTCTATCTTTTAATATCATCAGGTTGAGCAATGTTTGGGTGACCTAATAATAATTCTTACACCTCTCAGCTCACTTTAGCAGATGCCTCTGAAATATGTGGGAAAGCAGTTATCGGTAATTGAAAACTCCATTCTAGGTCAGCACATTGACCAACTCATGGCCCAGCCCATCCTGTCTCAAATTACCATCCGTGTGCTGTCCTAAATATGGCTTTATGAAAACAATATTGTTAACATTTCTCTGAAAGAATGATGGGTAAGAGGGAGGGAGTGGTATGATTATACCCTGTAGATAGGCTGTAAAAATTTCCTCCAGATAGCCCTGGCCGGTTTGGCTCAGCGGTTAGAGCGTCGGCCTGCGATCCGGAGAGACCCGGGTTCGGTTCCTGCTAAGGGCATGTACCTCGGTTGCAGTTTGTCCCCGGCCCTGGTTGGTCGTGCGGGTGGCAGCCACTCGATGTGTCCCTTTCACATCGATGTTTCCCTCTCTCTCTCTCTTCCTCTCTCTCCCTCCCACTCTATCTGTACAAAAAATGGAAAAACGTCCTCGGGTGAGGGAAAAAAAAAAAAAAAATTTCCTCCAGATATATATAAATATATTTTTTTTTTTTTTTTTTTTTTTTTATCCTCACCCGAGGACATTTTTCCATTTTTGTACAGACAGAGTGGGAGGGAGAGAGAGGAAGAGAGAGAGAGGGAAACATCGATGTGAAAGGGACACATCGAGTGGCTGCCACCCGCACGACCAACCAGGGCCGGGGACAAACTGCAACCAAGGTACATGCCCTTAGCGGGAACCGAACCCGGGTCTCTCTGGACCGCAGGCGGACGCTCTAACCGCTGAGCCAAACCGGCCAGGGCCCTCCAGATATATTTTTTAATAGTCCGGTGATGCACTATATGGGTTTGCTTGATGTTACTCTTTGTTCTTAAAAAACAAAAAATGTAGCCACAATCTAACAATTAAATTTTTTTCTTTTAAGTTTCCACAGTAAGACCTACAGTAAAATGAATAATCCGGCTATCAAGAGACTAGGAAATCACATAATCAAATCTCCTGAAGACAAGAGAGAATACCGTGGGCTAGAGCTGGCCAATGGCATCAAAGTACTTCTCATCAGCGACCCCACCACCGATAAGTCGTCAGCTGCACTTGATGTACACATAGGTACAATTTAAAATTGTGAATTAAGCTTTATTCAATTTTATTAACCTAACGCTGACATTTATTAGAAATTTTCATATTCGTGCAAATAAGGACCTAACAGTTGCCAGTTTAATGTGCCTTACTTTGTACGGTAGCCTTGTACAGCTGTTGGTAATCTGCAGTTGCTTAAGTCAAATAATCTTACATTTACCAAGAGTATCTTGGTAGGTTCCCAGCTGAGGTGGCCTAGCAGAAAGGAAATTCATTCACGTCCTTTACTGTTAATAGTTCTAATGTTTTCATTTTTGTACACTTTGGGTACACTAGGAAGTATATATCCTGGATTCTTGTGTGCATACTTCTTCCACATTTAATGCTGCTTTACTCAGGTTGCTTCTTATCTATATGTACACTTAGTAAGGCATGTTTTATTTTTTTCTCTCTGAAAAGCTTTTGTTTAACTCAGTGGCATTTTAAAATTGAGGGAATAAAATAATAGTCATCATATGTTGAACAAATAATTATTGCTGAGCACAATGCAGTGTGCTTTGCAAATATCATCTAATTTTTATACACACAACTCTCTTAAGTATATATAGAAAAGTGACTGAGACAAGATGGATAAAGTATTGTGCTCGAAGTTTCATTCACAGCTAAATAGAGCTGCTAACCCCTAAACCAGTGACATTAGCCCCCTGCTGTATTGTCTTCTGCAAAATAAAAAAGTGAATTAGTCCAAGCCAGTTTGGCTCAGCTTTAGAGCATCAGCCTGCTGACCAAAGGGTCATGGGTTCAATTCCCAGTCAAGGTCACGTACCTGGGTTGCAGGTTTGATCCCATGCCCAGTTGGGGTCATGCAGGAGGCATCAATGTGTCTCTCTCACATTGATGCTCCCCCACCCCCTTCCACTCTATCTATGAAGTCAATGGAAAAATATCCATGAGTAAGGATTAAAAAAAAAAAAAGAGGGGACAAAAAACAAAAGAGTGAATTCAACTCTTCCCCTCCAGTGTGATATGTGAGGAAACTAATGTCCAGAAAGGTTAAAATCTGGCCGAGGTCACTAACTAATTAATGTCAAAAGATGGAGCTAGAACTAAACAATGTTATTTTAGAGCAGCCTATGCTTAACTTTCTCTGATTGTATGATTGGAGTTGTCATGCCAACAAGTTTCAAATCATCTGTAACTTATCTGTACTTGATATCTTTCAATATAAGAAATGATTTATTATATATATATGTTTTCTCTATTATTTCAGGTTCATTGTCAGATCCTCCAAATATTGCTGGCTTAAGTCATTTTTGTGAACATATGCTATTTTTGGGAACAAAGAAATACCCTAAAGAAAATGAATACAGCCAGTTTCTCAGTGAGCACGCGGGAAGTTCAAATGCTTTTACTAGTGGAGAGCATACCAATTACTATTTTGACGTTTCCCATGAACACCTAGAAGGTGCCCTAGACAGGTAATGCTGAATACTCTCTGAGTTATCCAACTTTGTGCAACTATTATATTAATACTAGTAATAGTAACAATTATTCTTACAAAGATATCTTCACAGCTTTATAGCCTAACAAAAGGTATTTTAATCAGTATTCCCCACTCCCTGGGTTTTGCAGAAAAGAAAAATAATAATAAGTGATCTCATATATATATTTTGTGGTAGAGGGAAAATAATGGTATGACTTTAAACCAGCCTACAGGCCTACAAAATACTTTATTGACTTATAAAATTCTCATTGATCCTTCCCATTATAACTGGTATTACATATGAAGCAGGTGATGAAGAATAAATTAAGAGTGGCCATGGATGTCTTTTCAAACATATTGCTATTAAAGAATGCTAGAACTGGAATACTCTATTTTCCATTAGTTCCTCTGTTCTCAAGAACACTTAGTCAATACAGAATGTTTTGACCTACATTTTCAACCCTGGGGACATTTTGTGAAAGTATTTTCTATAGCAAGCTCCCTTAGGCCAGTTTAACTTTTTGGTCAATTTTCTATATAGTTAACAATTTAAAAAAAAATTTTGTGTCTGATTTGATTCCTTATTCAAAGTATAATTTTTCCCTTGGAGAATTTTTATAGTTTTATCGTTTTCTGTAAAAAGATTCAGTAACCTGAAGCTTTTTAGTGGGTCTGTAATGAGTTTGACCTTGCAGTTTTAGTAATTGTCGACTTTGTTTACTTATATTGATAATAGCCATTCTATTTTTTAAGCAATGTAGTAGTTTGAATTTATTCCTTAGCATGAAGAATATTGACAGAGTAAAGTCATAGATTCAGGATACATGGCTAGGTCAAAGTAGCCTGTTTCTCGTTTATTCTAGTTTATGTTTCCATCTTTAGGCAGCAGCTTTGAGTTATAATCATATTTTATATGTATTCCCAGAAGACTAACATTAATGAGTTCCCTGGGATCATACACTGAACCTAATTTCTTGCTTTACAAATGCTACTGCAGACGTTCATATAATAGATCTTTGTATGATGGAGGATGTCTATCACTTGGCTCAGAGTGAAAAATCCATTTGTATAAGAGCATCTTTTTAAAAAATGGCTTATATTGTGTCACAGTTGTGACCCTTTATGTGGGCCCATTCAGCTACGGTATGTAGTTTTAGGCACTTTTCCCAGCCTGAATATATTGAGGTAGGTAAAAAAGGTTGCATGTCCAGAAAAAAACTGTTTCCATATGTCTTTGATTATAGACTACAGATAGATGGATTTGTCTTTGGATTGGTAGGTGTAAAGTACTTAGCATAGTATTATAATCATTATTTCTTAAAATAAATATCGAATAATAACAGTCTCCTTGACAGCTGGACTGTGTGAGGAGCAGTTGCTGAGTTGTTATACATTCAAGAGTCTCTTAGATCCACTGAATAGTAGTTTCATTCAGACAGACCCTCTATTCTTGGCTTCATCTGAATTCTAGATCTTGATTTTATAAGATGGGGGCTAAAGTTTCTTAAGAAGAATTACTGTATGAAATCATGATTTAAATTGCAACCTGATATAGGAGAGTTAATTTATTAACTAAAGGTATCTTAGTTAAACTTTGGTGCTACTATTAAAGAATGGCCTCAAGAAAAGCATAGTAGTTACTTACGTTAGAGTTACATGCCATGTTATTTGTGGAATTGCAGCTTATTAAGATTTTTGAATACTCAAAATTTTATAGAAGCCCATAATTGTCTTAGTCAAACTATGTCAGGTTTTTCACTCATTTTTTTTCATTAATTAAAATAGATTTGTTTGTTTTTCTTCATAAGAAGAAAAATTCCCCAATAGAGCCTTTTAAAAGTGGTCACTTGCCCTGGCCGATTTGGCTCAGTGGTTTTAGCATTGGCCTGCAGTCCAGAGAGACCCGGGTTCGGTTCCTGCTAAGGGCACATACCTCGGTTGCAATTTGTCCCTGGCCCTGGTTGGGTTGTGCAGGTGGCAACCACTCGATGTGTCCCTTTCACGTGGGTGTTTCTCTCTCTCTCTCTCCCGGTCCCACTCTATCTGAACAAAAAATGGAAAAATGTCCTCGGGTGAGGATTAAATAAATAAATAAATAAAAGTAGGTCACTTAGTTTGTCCTAAAATGTGCGAGTCTTAGTGAAATTTCACTTAAAACTGTAAATTTAAGATTTATTTGCCTAAGAACTATCACCCACCTTTTCATATTTTGGAGAATTAGCCATATATAACAAGAGTTTTTATAGATATGCTGCATTGCAAATCTAAATAGATTGCTGCTGTCTCCAAAAGTCTGCCTTGACTTTTTGGTATTGTGACATTGTGATTTATAATAAGAAATATATATTTGATCTTCTTTTCTGGTTCTGACTCATAACTCCTCAAACCCTGGCAATTTCTTAATTGATGAGAGCCATAAAGGCGTCATTTGTTATGTTAATGAGGACTTTGGGGAAGCCCCTAGTTAACCTGAGGGTGAGAACCACATGATTAGAGAGTTGGAACTTTCAGTCTCACTCCTAGACCTCCTAGGAGGGGAGTGGGGGTGGGGATTAAGTTCAGTCACCAATGATAAATGGTTTAATCAATCAAGTCTATGTAATGAAGCCTTCCTAAAAACCCAAAAGGATGGAATTTGGAGAGCTCCTACGTTTGCCTACATGGAGATTTGGTGAAAGAGGTGTGTTCAGAGGGCACAGAAGCTCCTCACAGCTTTCCACATACCTTGCCCTATGCATCTCTCTTATCTGGCTGTTCCCGAATTATATATTTTTATTGTAAACCAGTAATCTAATAAGTAAAATGTTTCTCTGAGCTCTGTGATCTGCTCTGGTAAATTAATTGAATCTAAGAGGGAAGTTGTGTAATCCTCTGATCTACTGTTCAGAGGGTTGGTCAGAAGGTGCAAACCTGGACTTGTGATTGGTGTCTGAAGGGGGTAGTCTTGTAGGACTGAGCATCTCATTTTTAGGTTGTGTCATAACCAAGCTGAATTGTGGGATACTCAGCTGATGTTGGAGAATTGCGTAGTGGTATGGAAAAAAGATATGGGAATTAGTGTGATTATCGGAGGTGTTAACCTTTTTCTATTTTCACTAGTTATTTAACATATCTGGTTTAGATTGAATTCTGAATTTACATATGTCCAATATTATATTTTTCTTCTGTTACTTAGAACATATTTTAAAGGCCACTTTAAAAAAATAACAGCTTTCAAATTATGTTTCACACCCTTAGGTTTGCACAATTTTTTCTGTGCCCCTTGTTTGATGAGAGTTGCAAAGACAGAGAGGTGAATGCAGTTGATTCAGAACATGAGAAGAATGTGATGAACGATGCTTGGAGACTCTTTCAGTTGGAAAAGGCTACGGGGAATCCCAAACACCCCTTCAGCAAATTTGGGACAGGTTTGTCAACAACAGCTTTCATGCATGAATTCTTCTTGACCTCATTTAAAACCTATGGCATAGTATTGTATTTTACAGTTCAGGATAGAAGATTTCAGAACGCATTTTTACCTACAATCATTTTATAAACTCACAGTTTGGAGCTGAGAAGTGGTTGTTATATCATTGTTACTTTCTTTTATTGCTTAAACCATACCCTTACACTTAAGTTAACTGTCTGGTTCCAGTGTAGGCACCTATATTTGTGACTCGTGACCTGAGATGAGGCTGAAGCTTAGGTATATGGGCTTCATGGAGAAAGAAATGGATTATTGAGAATAGTGACCAAATATGATGTGAGTTTGTTGGCTAGCAAGGTATAGAATTGAATTCAGAGATTAGAAACAGACGAATAGCATTTTAGCTAGTAATTCCAAAAGAAGAATGTTAAACAGGAGTCGGGTTCTTGGCATTGGACTTCATATGTAATACTCAGGATGATATTTCCAAAATTTGTAGTCACAGTGACCTAAGCAATTATTTGCCCTGTAGAGGGTTACTCTGGCCATCCCATTCAAATAGGGGTCTAAATGTTTAAGGAACAGAGCAGTTAGAGTTGTGAATAGATATTAACCAGGATTTCAAAGGGAGAAGAGAATGGATTTTTAAAATTCTAAAGTCTGCTTTCTGATGGGGGCTACAAAAATAATACTTTTCCTCCTGTTAAGTTCTTCTAGCTGGGCTAATAATCAAATTAACAGACATTAATAGGAGAAAATAAAATTTTAATATATGCACACGGGGAATTTACATAGGCATGAAAATTTCAAAAACAGTGAGGCAACATTGGATATATAATGACATTTTGAACAGGAGAAATGGGGGAATGGAGTCTTAGAATTGAGATGAGAGAATGGGCAGTTTAAGGTGAGAAAGAGGGGAACACATGGCAGGCAAATCCTTGCTAGGTGACTCAGAAACAATGGGGCACAGAGTATCAAGCTAACAGACTCCTGCCTGAAGTCCTCCTATTTACCATACTTAATTCAAATGAGGCTAAAATGAATATCCTAAAATTCCCTTCCTGGAGTAAGCCTTTCTGTGTAAATCTCTTAGGCAGGAAGAGGTAGGGTTAAAGGTTCTTTCTGAGTCTTAATAAACAACTTAAAATAAATATCCCACCAGGCAGCTTGAGGGTGGCAAAACTTTGGTCCCCTTCACTTCTCAGTAGAAGTGCTATTTTTAATGCTTACTTCAAGGTTTGTTGAATCCTCTCTTCCCATTGCCTTCCCCTCTGTTCATCTACATGCAGAGCATCTGCTATGGGGATGGCTCTGTGGGAGGTATGAACCTATAGAAGACACAGACCTCTGCTCTCAAAGTGCTACAGTGTGTAAGGAGATTAGAGGTGGGGATGACAGGGCATAGAAAAAAATTAATGGGAGATTCTTGATTTTATAATTGTATCCTTTTTTTTTTAATTCAAATTTTTACTAAGAGGTATTTAAATATATATTCAATATTGAAATATTTAAAGTAAAAAAGAGCCCTGGCCTGTTTGGCTCAGAGGTTAGAGCATCGGCCTGCAGACCAAAGGGTCACAGGTTCGAGTCTTTGGCCCCAGTCAGGAGGAAACCAATCAATGTGTCTTTCTCACATTGATGTTTCCCTTTCTCCCTCCCTCTCCCTTCCTCCCTTCAACTCTATCTAAAAATTAATGGAAAAATATCCTCAGGTGAGGATTAACAACAACAAAAATGTGAAAAACAAAAAGTCTCCCTTTTCCTCATCTACTCTTGCCATTCCTACTTAACAGATGTAATTGTTCTGATAGGTTCTATGATTTTAAAAATACTGCTTTGGGGATTATAAAATTGCATATAACTAATAGATTGTTCAGTGCACTTTCAAATTTATGTTTTTTTTTATGTCAGTTACCATGGGGGACTTTTTAAAAAGACTATATAAAGAAAACTTTCTTTTAGTTTGGATACCATACTATTATATCCAGGGAATTAGCATACCTTTACAGAATTAGAAGTTTTATTTTATTTTTTTGTACGTGCCCCTAGCGGGAACCAAACCCGGGACTCTTTGGTCCGCAGGCCAATGCTCCAACCGCTGAGCCAAACCGGCCAGGGCCAGAATTAGAAGTTTTAAAAATCGCAGTTAGAAGCAGTGATATTGTATTCTTTAGATTGATATACTTGGCCCTCAATATCAGTATCATTGCTAAGATGAATGCTGTGGTTCCTTCAATGTCTGTGTAATGCTGATTTGTTTGAAAAGTGGCTTTAGTAGAGAACTTCAGCGTACGTGAGATATCAAGAAGGGAATATGAGTTTAAAAATTTTTTTTTCAAAATTATTACAACCAAATAATTGTCCTTTAAGTAATCCCTTTGGTAGGTTAGATACTTATACCAACAATGCTGCTATTGTGCAGAAATGTAGGGGCTCCTCTTTGGGAGTTGCCTTCTTTTAAATAGCCTCAGTGGTGACCAATCATAATCAGCATACTCAGGAAGCAGCCACAAATCTTCCAGAAATAAATCCAATGAATGAGGTGAGTAATGTTACTTCTGGTTACAAGCACAGAGAAGTCTTAAAATGTACTAAAGGAAAGTTTCAGGAGTGATTGGCAAAGAGAAGCATTGAATGGCTATATGTGTATGGTTGGGGTTTGAGGGCATACTGATTTCTGTAACCACCAACAAAGTTAAGCAGTTAGTCTGCAAAGGATGAAGTAATATAAATAGCTCAGAAATAAATAAGCCAGACTCGCAATACAACAGGACAGAGAATGTGATGTAAGTAGTGCAGATGCCCAGTTACCTGCTGATTTTAGAAATATAAACTAACATTCAACTTTTGGGAGTAGAGGTTCTGTCATTTCTAAAGTCAGATACATTTGAAAATATGATGAAAGATTCAGCCCTAGAAATTACACATATAGAAAATTTTGTAAAATTGATCCGCAAAGAAGAGTCCTTGTCAGAAGTTCATGCTTAATTTATTTCTGTTACTTTTGAGTGACTTTAGATGTTATTGTGAATGTGGGCCATTTTGCCCATCAGGGGTTATGATTTATTATTTTAATGTTGGTAATATTTAAATATAAACTATTTAAAATGATATTTACATAATAATATCAGGAAAAGCTGGGTATTTTTAAATGAACAAAATCCAAACATTGTGTTATTTTTAAGAAAAACTTACGATGTTTGTCCTTTACAGTGGTTTTTCATGCTTCAAAAATAGTATAGATCAGTGGCTTTCAAACTTTTTTTAAAACAACCCACAGTAAGAAGGATGTTTTACTTAGCAACTCAGAGCACATACATGTGTGTTTGTGCAAGCAGCTAAAACAAAAGTTTTACCAAACAATATCTATCTTACATTTTGGGATGAAGCCTGGTGTGCCCTCTGTTATATTGTGTGTGTTTTTTTTAATTTTGGTCTGCCAATACATTAAACTATTTTGTTATGATCAAGTGGATTTCAGTCCATAGTTCAAGTAAATCAAAGTCATAAGCAGTCATTTCAGAAGACTTAGAAAAAACATTTGTTAAAAATCAGCACTCATTCACGAACAAAAACAACCAAAAACTCTTACTCTGATAAAAACCTATGTCAAACATGATTAATGGTGAAGTTTCAAAACGATTCCCATTGAAAGTAAAAAACAAAACAAGAATACCCCCAATCACTCTTTTGTTCAGCTGTAGTATAGGTACTGATTGTTGCAATAAGTCAAGGGGGAAATGTGATATGTAAAAGGTGGAAAGGAAGCAAAAGAAAACTTTGCTTATTTCCTTATGATATACTTGTTCAAGAAAATCTTTGAATCAGCCATTAAACACAAGATACCTTACCAGAGTTGACAAAAGAATAGAAACACACTAATATTGTGTTCTTCATAGATTCCAAAATTCTCAACAAAAAACTAGCAAACCAAATTCAACAATGTATTAAAAGGATTATATGCCACAAGCAAGTGGGCTTTATACTAGGGATGCAATGGTGGTTGAACATCCACAAAATAGTGTGATTCATGATATCATCACAACCAAGAATGAAAATCATATGATTATCTTAATCATTGAAGAAGAAGCATTTGTCAAAATTCCACATCTATTTATGTTAACTCAACAAAATGAGTTTAGAAGAAACTTACCTCAACTTGATAAAGCCTATGTGTGACAAGCCCATAACTAACATCATACTCAGATAAAGATGCCCACTCTCACCACTGTTATTCAACATAGTACTGGAAGTCCTAGTCACAGTAGTCTACAAACAGAACGTCCACAAACAGGAACAGAAGAAGTAAAATTCACTATTTGCAGCTTACATACTATAGACAGAAAATCCTAAAGAATCCACCAAAAATTTATAGAATTAATAAAAGAATTCAGTAAAGTAGCAGAATACAAAATTAATATACAGAAATCTATCACGTTTCTATACATTAATGAACAATCAGAAGGAAAAGTGAAGATAACAGTCCCATTTACAATTGCATCAAAAAGAATGAAGTACCTAGAAATAAACTTAAGCAAAGAGGTGAAAGATCTGTACTCTGAAAACTATAAGACACTGAAAAGGACACAGATAAATGGAAGGATAGACAATACTGATGGATTGGAAGGATTAATATTGTTAAAATGACCATAATACACACATTTACAGGTTCAGTGCAATTTCTATCAAAATAGCAATGTCATTCTTCTCAAAACTAGAACAAATAATCCTAAATTGATATGGAATCACAAAAGACCTCAAATAGCCAAAGCAATCTTTAGAAAGAAGAACAAAGTTGGAGGTGTCACACTTCCTGATCTCAGACTATGCTACAAAGCTATATAATATTCAAAACAATATGGTACTGGCACAAAAACAGACACATAGATCAATGGAACAGAATAGAGAACCCAGAGATAAACCCTTGCTTATATGATCCAACTAATTTATGACAGAGGAGCTAAAAATATATACTGGAGTAACAACAGTCTCTTTGAC